CCATGCATAGTAGAAAAGTTGTAATGCATTAATTGGTGGCTTTAAAAATAGAATCAAAATATACAAAATTGAGAAAAGGGTCAAATACACCCCTAAACTTTACCCCAAAGATCAATTAGACCCCTAAATTTTAGAAAAGGTCAATTAAACCCTCAAACATGTTAAATTGAGTCAATGAAGCTCAAAAATCGGTAAATGACCTGTCATTATAGGTCATTTCAATTTCGGCGACGGCCAGATCTGGCTGTGTTCTCCATCGGAGGAGACGGCCGGAGAAGGCGGTCGTCCGGTCATCTTCTCCTGTGGAAGACGACCGGACGGCCGGATGTTGTCGCCAGTGGCCGGATTTTGTCGCCGGTCTCCGGATTTTGTCGCCGGTCTCCGGAATTCGTCGCCGGAATTGAAATGACCTATAATAACAGGTCATTTACCAGTTTGTGAGCTTCATTGACTCAATATAACATATTTGAGGGTTTAATTGACCTTTTATAAAGTTTAGGGGTCTAATTGATCTTTGGGGTAAAGTTTAGGGGTGTATTTTACCCTTTTCTCTACAAAATTTGGGTTAAACTATATATGGAAGCAAATTCCCATATAATAAATCTAAACTTTCGAGTTACGAAATATTACATTATTTCCTGATCTACAAAGATTTTATTGTCCAAAATAATTATTATTAACGTAACTAGTATTTTCACCCGTGCGATGCACGGAATAGAATTATAGAATTGTTGTAATATATTAAGAATATTTGAATAGATATATAATTATTTAAATTAGAACATCAAATATTATATAGTGCATTTAAAAATATGGTTTGGATCGTTTATGTATTTTGATGTTATCATTGCTTGAATTTGTGTAAATAATTGCTCAAATTAATAGCTAATGTCTAGATGTACACATGTGGTGCTATAACTTTGAAGATTTTATTTATCATGGTTTGTAAAATGTTTTCTTCAAAGAAAAACCAAAATAATAAGTCATTAAGCTAAGACTTCTTAAATAAAAGCCTTTTGTCTTCTCAATACTTGCCCACGTTGATGGGCAAGCAATTATGTTTGGAAAAGGAGCATTGCTCAGAGCTCCCCTTTCCAAACATTTTCGATGTGGGATCAAAATGATCCCACATCATTTACAAAGGGAGCTCGTGGTTCCGCTTTGTCTTTTTTTTTTTTTTTTTTTTTTTAAATTTTAATTTTATTTTGTATATAGTTTTATTTTGATTATTATTATATTAATATTAATATTAATATTAATATTAATATTAATATTAATATTATTATTATTATTATTATTATTGTAATTTTATTTTATTATTACATTATTACATAATAATAACAATAATAATAATATAAATTTTCTTTTAGAATTTAAACCCAAAATTATTGTACGAATTGGAAAGTAGAAATCAATATATTTTATTAGGAAGAGAGATTTTTAGGAATTGTGCGGGGAGTTAAAATTTCAGGATTTTGTTTTTATATATAGTATAGATTACAATAGGAATTATGTTACACTATTTTATAATATTATAATAGAATTTTAACCCAGAATTATTGTACGAATTGGAAAGTAGAAATCAATATATTTTATTATGAAGAGAGATTTTTTAGGAATTGTGCGGGAAGTTAAAATTTCAGGATTTTTTTTTTATATATAGTATAGATTTTAAAAATTCATTAATAAAACATAAGGTTCTCATAGTTTTTTTTAGAAACTATTTAATGAAGTATTTTTTGAGAACTTGGTGGGCCAAACCGCCTACGGCAGTTTGAGGTGGATAGATCTCGAAAAAATATGCGATTTCAAAAAAAAATTTGTCCAAAACGGACAACTGAGTCAAAATTTATGCCTTGCCGAAGTTTTGACACATTACAATTTAAAAAAAAAAATAAAAATTAATCGACGGTTCAGCCGGCTAGACGGCCGCGGAGGAGGCCGATTTCAGCCTTCCATGCCACAGGAGAAAGAATGGAAAAGTAGAAATCAATATATTTTATTAGGAAGAGAGATTTTTTTTGGAATTGGGCGGGAAGTTAAAGTTCAACATTTTGTTTTCATATATAATATGGATTAGAATAGGAATTGTATTACACTATTTTATAATATTAGAATAGAATTTTAACCCCGAATTATTGTACGAATAGAAAAGTAAAAATCAATATATTTTATTAGAAAGAGAGATTTTTTAAGAATTGGGCGGGAAGTTAATGTTCAGGATTTTGTTTTTATATATAGTATAGATTAGAATATGAATAGTATTACACAATTTTATAATATTAGAATAGAATTTTAACTTAGAATTATTGTACAAATGGAAAAGTAGAAATCAATATATATTATTAGGAAGAGAGATTTTTTAGGAATTGGGCGGGAAGTTAAAGTTCAGGATTTTGTTTTTATATATAGTATAAATTAGAATAGGAATTGTATTACACTATTTTATAATATTAGAATTGAATTTTAACGCAGAATTATTGTACGAATTTGCAAGTAGAAATCAATATATTTTATTAGGAAGAGAGATTTTTTAGGAATTGGGCGGGAAGTTAAAATTTCAGGATTTTGTTATTATATATAGTATAGATTAAATATAATGGCCGTGAGTAGTGCTGTCAATACGGGCTGGCGGGGCGGGGTGGGCCAAAGCCCGGTGGGCCGCGGGCCTAAACGGGACGGTCTAAAAAAGCCTGCTCCTAAACGGGCTTGGGTTTGATAGGCCCGGACCGCCCAGCCAGTGGCCCGCGGGCTAGGCGGGCCCCCGTCGAAACCCCTTTTTTTTAAAAAAAATTGTTCATCAAATATCTAACTAATTAAAATAAATTGATACATAAGTCATAACTCACATAAAACATAATAATCAAACATTAAATATTACATAAAGTTCAAAGTTCATAGTTTATCAAACATCAAACTAGTCACAACTACAAAGTCCAAAAATATTACACATAACAATAATTTTAAAGTGCATATTTTATATAAAAATATTTTATATAAAATAAAATATAATAATGGCGGGCAAAAGCCCGCTCCTAAACGGTCCTCTATTTTGAAAACTCGCCCCCTACCTAAGTAGGGGCGGGGCGGGCTAAGCCCGTTTTGACGGCTCTAGCCGTGAGGCACACAATAATAATATAACCATAATTAAATATTCTTGTATTGTATTCCGTGAGTCACAATAATAATTAAATATTCTTTAATTCTATATTTTTCTAGGATTTCTATTACCATTATTAATTATTCCCTAATTTACCATAATTAAATAATTTGACCAATTATAAAGAGAGATTATTAAATAATGCACGAGACAATTTTTTAATTAAAAAATTAAAAAATTCATTAATTTAAGCGGGGCGGGCCAAAAAATCCCGCTCCTGTAGTTGTGGTGAAATGAAATTACAATATATATAAAATGAAATTGAATAACATTTCACATATCTGAGTGTATATTGTACAATGAAGCTGTAATTATATTGAAATGATCATGTTGTTATGTTTTAATGAAACTATAGTGTATATAAAATAAAATTAAATAACATTTTCACATGTTTGAGTGTATAAATGTTGAATGAAATTGTAGTTATATCGAAATGAAACTGTAGTTGTGTTGAACTAAAACTGCAATGTATACAAAATAAAACTGAAGAACACAGTTATTTTTTGCGAAAATTCTGTTTCTTTTCATTAAACAAAATATCGTTTTGATGCGCGGTGCATGATCGATCATGCACCGCGGTGCACGATATAATTTGCGGCCTTAATTAAGTTATGAAATATTGCATTAAGTTGAATAATTAATTATTACAATATTTGACATAGGATCCCATTCAATCTGATGTGGTAATTGCGAATTTGGTTTGTTGGACTTTGATAGGATGATATATTTTTTGCTTTAAAAATAAAATAAATTATAATCCAAAATTGCAAGAATTTAAAAATTAAAATCACAAATTTTCAAATATCTCATTAAATAAAATAAAACAAAATATACAATTTTTTTGAAAATACAAACATTTGATTTAAAATTCATACAAATTTGAAGTACAATTTTTTTTCTTAGACAAGCACCTTGTGCTCAAATGACATGTAGTGACCTCTCTTAGTGGGAGGTCATGAGATTGAACCTCAGCAAATGTATTGTTGACTTTTTGTGCTTCATTAGACTGAGAAAGTATGTTTTGTTGACTCTTTGTGCTTTAAATAGATACTACAATGTAATAAAATCTTTAAAAAAAAAAGTACAATTTTTTATTCTTTTTCAATTCTTCATTCAAATTGAAATAACCAAATGCTTATAATGCTCAAATATTGGACTTATGACGCGTATTTGACTATCCCGCAAGTTCATGCGAATAAATTGAATGCATATTAGCAAATTATTATGTGGATCACGGTACAAAACGATTTCATTTTTATGTTAAAAAATTTCTTGCTCTACGCACAGGTTTTAATAATGAATGTTCTGAGAAAAAGATAATGTATTTTATGAGTTAAAATAATTTACTTTATGTGTTAGAATAATTTACTTTATGTGTTAGAATAATGTACTTTATATGTGTTAGAATAATGAAATTTCTGGGTAAGATAATGTATCTTTTAAGTTAGAATAATGTATTTTATATGTTAGAATAATGTATTTTATGATATAGAAAAATATATAATTTACATTATGTATTAGAATAATAAAATTTCTTGAAGTATAAGATAATGCATTTTATAAATTACAATAATGTACTTTTGAATCGTGGTCGACTCAGTTGTGTGAATTACGATTCACGCAATAATGATTGACATATTTCTGTAACCGTTCACTTAGTCAAAATTATCAAAATTCTTTTTTTTTTTGAAAACAAAATTATCAAAATTCTTAGTTGGTTTATATGCAATATTTTTACTTGGGGAAAGAAACGGTTGTAGGCACCATACATTAATTGTTGTTTACTTTTTATTTGTTTTTTTCAGACTTATTTTTTTTATTTTTTTTCCTTTTTTTTTTTTTTTTTGGTCTTTGTGTGTGGCTATATAAGTAAGCAAATATGGGTAATGATGCCTATAGTGAAAACCTTTTTCCTCTCTACTTGATTTAGTACGTGTTTACTGTTTTTGGAAAACAAAATTAAAGAAAATGACGATTCAAATTTTATTGAAGGTGCTATATGTGCTATGCTTGATCTTGGGTATGAGCTTGACAAAGTACTGTGATGCTCGTATTCTTAAACAAGAAAATCATCAAGCTACAAAAAAGATACTAGATTTGTCATCATTTTCATCTGTTGCAAACATTCCTGTGGGTTATCCTTATGCAGGTTTACCTATTCCTCATTTTCCTGTTCCCCCAGAAGGTTCTCCTGTTGCAGGTTTTCCTATCCCTGGTTTTCCTGTTCCCCCAAACTCAGGCCCGGGTAATCCAAATCTTCCCCCTTTCCCTTTTCCTGGACTAAAATCTGATTCCAAAATTCCAATAATTCCTGGTTTCCCATTTCTAGGACCTATCCCTGGGATTCCCGAAATTCCTGGTTTCCCATTTCCAGGACCTGCCTATGGGATTCCTGATTTTCCAATTCCAGGACCTACCTATGGAATTCCCGAAATTCCTGATTTTCCATTTCCAGGACCTTCTTATGGGATTCCCGAAATTCCACCATTTGTTCCCGGGGAACCTGTAGAAGGTCCAGTTGAAGCACCAAGTCCTAGCATCGAGCTCGCGAGTGATGAGTCCAAGATAGTATAGGTTCATTTCCTTTGCTGCCTCTTGTCATGCTTTGCTGACCGTACTCTCTCATTTTTTTCCCATTGGATGAGAAAAGGAAATTATAGAAATGATGAATGAAAATTAAAGCTCCATTTATATCAACATATATAATTCCGGTGTTATTTGCCTTCAATTTTTATTTCTACTCGCTTCAATTCTCTAACTGCATCGATTTTAATTATGCCATGGAATATTATTAGTTGTAATCACCTGTTGAGGCAAGAAGTTTGATTAAAAACATTATATGTTAGTTCTCTTTATTATACGGTAAAATGACGCAAATTTTATTGGAGAATTATTTGTGGCAAGTAAATAAAAAGTAAGGATGTAATGAGATAAAATTAAAATAACATGACTAAATTTGACAATGCCACAAATATGAATGACTAAAAGTAGAATTTGTTCTTTAATTAAATAATCAAATCTTGAACAAAATCAATTGGCAAGAGAAGACTTATGGTCAAATTATAAATTGAAAATATAAAAATTAATAAATATCAGTAATCAATGGATGATTAATAGATTAACTCAATATTATTATTATAAAGTTGAACAATATTTTTTGCCTGGCAATATAATATAGTTTTTTTTGGGGATCATGTTTCTTTAAATTAAACTGGTTTTATTCGTTCGATTAAAAAATTTTTTACATTATTTGTTGGAGAATAGTACAAATTTTAATAGAATAAAGCAAATCATCACAAGAGAAATGGACAGATTATATACAAGGACAAGTTTATACAAATGTAGTCTCTGGTCCAAAATAATTTTCAGATTATATGCCTGTAGCTGTCATAATTTGTACGTGTAGTTAATAATTTTTGTACCTTTAAATAAATTGAAAACACATAACATGTTAACTATACACATATAAAATAATACCTAGAAACACATACACTGCGGGAAATTATGAAATTTACGACCACCTGAAAGTGATCTTAAATCAAGTCTAAAGCAAAAAGTGGCCGAAAATAGCATCAAAGGTTTTTTCGGATACCAAAAGTGGTCGGAACAAGACTTTCAACTTGATTTAAGATCACTTTCAGGTGGTCGGAAATTTCATAATTTTCAGTCGTGACATAAATGATTAAAAGTAGATATAAAATATGTTAAATATAAACATACAATATATTAATGACAGTCATGCGGTTAAAGTGTAATTTTGAAAAGAAATGTTACTACCAATTAAATATTATATATATTTTTTGGTAGTATTACGGTATTATATTATTTTAAAAATTTTAAAAATATTCTACATATATATATATATATATATATATATATATATATATATATATATATATATATATATATATATATATATATATTGGAGGGATAAAAATATTCTATATTGATAATACCAAAAGTTTATTATCAAATTAAATATTAGATATTTTTGGTAGTATTAATTATTATTATAATGATTATTTTGAAAATATTCTACATTTGAAATGATTACTATTTTGGAAGATTAGATGATATATTATTATTACAATTTAAAATATAATTTTATGGTAGTAATAATTACATTGTTGTGATCTTGAAATATTTATTTTACTCCACAAATAGTGATTCTTTATGAGATTATTGAATGCTATTTAGGAAACTTTCTAGGATTACTATATTTTCAATCGTTATACCCTACACCACGGCGCGCGTAGCACTGTGCGTCGCGCGCCTCCCAAAACGATGTCGTTTTGGGAGGCGCGGTAGAAGTTGCTGTGATTATGTATATTTATTCACATAAGTATGCATATTTGTTCATACAATTATGTATATTTGTTTATACAGTTATGTACATTTTTTATACAATTATGTACATTCTTTTTATACAATTATGTACATCCGAATCAGAAAATTTATGTGTATTATGTTAAGAGTTGATGTGTATTATGTTAAAAGTTTATGTTTATTATGTATTATGTTAGATTATGTGTATTATCTTTTAAAAAGAGTATGTATATATTTTGTTATATAATTATGTACATGCATGTATACAATTATGTGTATTCTAGTAGAACATTATGTACATTTTTGAACAAGGATTTTTTTTAAAAGAAAAATTAACTGCCATACACTGGGGCGGGAAATTTCAAAAAAAAATAAAATAAAATTAAAACGATGTTATTTTGCATCTGGCCGCACAGTGCAATGCGCGCCGTGGTGTAGGATATAATCATATAAATTGCCCTATATTTTAGATTAAAGTGTTTCATTAAAGAGAATATTATAATAGTATATTGATTTTATACAAATTTAATTTTGGTATGGAATTAATTGATTAATGGAAAGTTTAGATTTATTATATGGGAATTTGCTTCCATATAAAGTTTAACCCAAGTTTTGTATCTAAAAACATAATATGTGTCAATACAAGTTATGTCCTTGATTTTTGTCCCTTTTTTATATGCTAATAAATATATACATCTTGCTTTAATTGTTGTACATTTCATTTGTATTGGACAAAATCACCCTTACACCGTTATAACACCGTTAGTCTTTAATATATCAACCAATCTTACCATACGCCTACATCTATCATATCTTTTTCCTATTTTCAATTATCATTTTATTAAAATTATCATATAACAATTAATTTAATTATAAATTATATTTTAATTGAATATTTATATGAATGTTTATATATATAATATGTATGTATATTTTATTTGTGTATACATATCAATATATCATATATGTGGCGGTTAGCTTAGTATTATTTGTAAATTATTATTATATAAAAATATACTTTTTTTTTTTGATTTGATCACTATATTATTCAAATATATGATAATTCAAAAGTATCATCACTTTAAGGAATTGCGAAACATAATTTTAACTAATTTTTAAAATTTTGTTACTTAATAATATTTTAATATTGGGCATAGGTTTTCGCGCATCGCGCATACAAAATGCTAGTATTTTAAATATATCTTTGGAAAAATGACACTTTTTTCTCCTGAATTATTAATGTAAGCACATTAGCTCGCTCAATTATTCTAAGGGGGCGTTTGGTTCAGGTTATATAACATAACCATGGGAATGTGACATTTCAAAGCTCACATTTCGATGTTTGGTTCATATTATCTTAGGGAATCTAACATTCCCTCCACATAGGATTTTGAAGGGAATGTGATTCCCTTCAAAATCTTAGATAATGTAAGATAACATTGGTTATGTTAGTTTATATATATATATATATATATATATATATATATATATATATATATATATATATATATATATATATATATATATATTTGTAAGTATATATTTTTTTTATTTTTATTATGTTATGTTAGCATATAAAATAATTTTGTTTCTCAAGTTCAAAATTTTAGTTAATATTTTAAAATCATGTAATTATATATGATACCATTATCTTATTTATTTATTTTAATTTTTAAATTTATTAAAATATATGAAAATATGTTCAGGATATTAACCAGGACTATGTGGTCTAATGGTATCCGGGTTGGACTTCCAATTGGAAGATTATGAGTTCAAGCCTCAGTGGAGGCGTTATTGGTTCTTTGTGTTTCAGTAGGTTGAGAAAGTATTGGTTCTTTGTGTTTTGAACAGATACTACAATGTAATAGAGCCAGTAACTTTCAAAAAAAAAAATGTTTTATATTACATACCCCAATTTTAACCAAACACAAGAATCTAACATTCTCAGTAATCTAACATTCCCTAAGGTAATCTGATATTCCGTGAACCAAACGACCCCTAAAAGTGGCGGTTTCCCACCTGATATGTTAAATTGACATTTCTACCCTTAAAGTAAATATTTTATTTATTTTTCTTCTCCAACAAATTATTGCGTATACGTAGGGATGACCACGGTTCGGTTCGAACTGATCTGGACACTATAGCAATCGAATTGAAAGTTTTCTGTTATGATTCAGATCAGAACCCAATATTTAGATTTCAGTTTATTAAATTTATGAATTGAAAAAACTGGATCCTGAACCGTAAACCGACGGCTCTGGATCCGGTTCACGATTTTGAACCGTCTTTCTTTTAAAATTTTATTTTTATTTTAAACTAGTTTAAATTCAACAATAAATGTATTTTAACTTTTTCAGTTCGAAACATGGAACGGCTGTTTCAGTTCCCGATTTTAATAAACTCTAAATATCAGGTTTCACTTCTAAATTGTAATTGGAATATTTCGGTTTCTTTGCTATAATGTCTGTTCGATTTGAACCAAATCGTGGTCATAATTTGTTGGAGAAGAAAAATAAATGAAATATTTATTTTTATTTTAAGGGTAAATGTGTCCATTTAACATTTCAGGGGAAACAACCACTTGAATAATGTAATTCTCTTCACTAAAAATGTACCCTATTTATGATAGATAGGAAATGTATGTACGAAGATCTCGAACACTTCAAGAGTTGAAAATTAAACCCGAAGACTATGTATGATAGAACCTTATATGCAATAGGGATGAGTTTAATTTTAACAATTTATTGTCGACGTTCAAAATACAGTGGCTCAATTTTGAGAAGTCCATGAATAATATCGAGTTTATTTTTCATATATGCACTTTATGTATGAGATATATGAATGTGTTGTATGAGTAAAGTGAAACACTCTATAAAATTTAAACTCTTCCCTATATTAAAATATTAAGTCATAAACAGTTAGGAATCAAGAATTGAGACTACCTAATCGTGACTTTTCACAATCATAAGAAATCTAGTATTTTTTCTGGCACGTTGTCGGCTATGCCGATATATGTGCAACATGTATGTTTAAAATACTTTGATTTTATTATTTTAAACATGTGATGTGGTAGCACTTGCATACTTTACTTTTCAAAATGCCCCTAAAGGTGAGAAAAGTTAAAGTTTAACTCTATGTGTTAATGGTCCATGAACCTATGTCAAAAGTGCAATTTGAAAGGTTTCATAGACATTAGCAAATGTTCTATTCTAGGGTGCATATTAACATGTATAAACTCCAATTTTAGAAAACATATGCACCTAACAAGCCGAAAAGCTTTCAAAACATTCCTTAGGACTATAATACTTTTAATGGCTACATTCAACGTAGGCTTGGATTAATGGGTCTAAGGTACAAATGGATGTCTAAACTCACTA